TATTTAAAGCTAAACTGAAGCTGCTCGTATCCCTCTCATTCAGCATGGATCGTTTCCATGAATTAATCGTTAGTTGCAGAGTAACATTTGGTAAGAGACCTATAAAACAAACTTTTGTTAAAACAACCATCTTCATAAATGTTCATGAGAAAACACTTGACAGTTCTTACTACCTCTGAACACAATTCACTCACACATCACTCATCGGTTCTGAGGACTGTGTTTCCAGGCCAATCACCAGAAATACAAGCAGGGTTCTGAAACACAACAAAATAAAACCGCTTTTTCACCCCACGTAGTCTACTACTGTCTTTACATATTCTCATTAGCTCACGATAAAACCCATGCATGAAGATACTTCATGTCCACATTTCATTAAATGAAGATGACCTAACGACACACAGATTATTCTAAACATGCGCAGCATAAAACAACTTGGCATCAATCTACCTGTATTTGCTTAAACAGAAACAGCTCTCGTGATTGAAATAAATTCATCAAGATAGTCACTATTAAAACACAGCTGAGCACAAATGACCTGATATTAGCGCACACTTTTTTGATAACATCAGTGAATGAATGAGACCAGAGCTACTGCGCATCTCTTTATAGCACATTACCCCACAGACCTATGGGAAATATAGTCCCAAATCATACATCGCCCTGTCACATAATGATGGAGTTATCTTGTGTGATAACTAATTACAATATGGTAGTTTTATTCTACAGTATGATTAATATGAACTAACATTCATCTTTTCCAGCTCAAACTGACTCAACGACAGCAGTGATTCCAGTCCACATCTCAAACACACACGTAACTAAAGGTACATCATCACTGTCTTCCTCACATCAGATACTGCAGCAATATTAAACTGTGTGTTCGTTACAGTCTGTGTTCTGATGAAATGTTAAAATAATAATGTCTGCCGTTCACTGAGATTCACTGAAGTGGAAGTAGAAACAGCTTCATGTGACTAAATGTTTACAGATGTTTTTAAACTTGCACTGTATATAATGATGAATTAACACAAACCATTAAACTACAAAGATCTGTCACTTTGTATTGTTGATCAAGGATTCAAATACGGGCTCCAGTACATATCTATCATTTCTGTGATGTGAAGCTCAAGTATGATGTGATGTTTATATGTTCATTATGTTTGAACTGAACTAACAGACATAATCACAGATCCAGCAGAAGCTGAAGTCTGTAGGACGGCTGGATTATTATTCAGAGGTATCACACGTCTTTACATTATTCATTGTTTCATTGCTTTGATTTCATTCCCAGTTTCACAGACTGAGTCTCTCTGTTTTCTCTTGATTGTGTCTCTCATCTGTCCTGCAGTGATTGTGATTATTGTTGAGTTTGCAGCGTTTGCTGCTCCTACTGTGATTCTTCTTCAGATCATCTGTGCAAGAAGAGCTGGTGAGTTTGAGATGATTCACATTGATCTGGAACGATCTGCACTTATGAGAGCTCAGTCAATGCTTTTGTGTTGAATTATTTTGCAGGGAGGAAGAACTCGCAGCACCCAGAGGAAATAGAGATTAATACAATATTAGAGTAACATGGGAGGTGTGACAACTGAGTTGAGGATCCAAGTGCAGGCTTGATTTACAAGAGTGGTCAAAAGAGGCAGGGTCAATTAATCAACAGCAAACAGGAATGATCCAGGATGAGACAAAAGAGTAATCCAATAAACAGGCGAAAGTCAGGATCAGATAAAAGGAAACAGTCCAGGGTCACAGCAAGTCAAGATAAGACAACAAGGAAATAAGAAACACAGGACCACTACAGACAAACAATACTGGGCCATGTGTGTTTGGTTGAACCAGGCTTTAAATAGGGCGAGACTGATGATGTAATGAGATACAGGTGAAGGCAATCAGTTGATGATGAGTCCAGTAAAGGATTATGAGAAATGTAGTTTGGGGAAGATTGGCAAGAGTCCGAGGTGGAGTGCCCTCTGGTTCATAGGCACTCCAGCTGGAGATCGTGACAATGAGTATAAAATACTCTACAAATAACAGATTACAGCAAGATTTATCTTCATCTTAATGATATGGGGGTATTTGCTCCATATACTGTAGTGAATGCTTTAAATATAATATTAAATACAGAGATCAACGGAAGTGCTTTTAATAACCATGAATAATTACAGAAATTCTAATAGAAATGCATGGAAACTTTCTAATCTTGATTCATCTAATCATTGCTTTGAACTTTTTACAAAAAGCTTTTTAAATGTTGTAATAGTCCATTTTAACTGATAATGCATGCTACAGATGTCTGTTAATTATCATACGACATATTTACAGATGTATTGTGATGTTTTTGTTTTTTTATTGTTCACTGATCATTTGATGCAGAGACAAATCCTTACTTAAAAACATGTTGCAGCATGATGTAGGTGGGGAAGACAATAATTCAGATATTTATGTCAAGCATCATATGCAGAAATATAAATTCACAATTTGCAAACCTTTTTTTTTGGTCTTCGGATTTGTGATTAATACTTTTTTTGGGGTTTATTTCACAGTCTAAAAGTGTAAAAGTAGGGTATTTACATCTGATATTGGGTTAATAACCAGTATCTGGGTAAAATGAAAGGGACTTGGTATTTATTAACTTCATACACCTTGGGCCTGTACCATGATGGTGGCTGAACAAACTCGGGGTTACAGGATTAGTTTTGAGTCGACGTTGACCAAACCAGTCCAGTCCGGCTTTGTTGGTACCATGAAGCTGATCATCAGCTTTCTCTGTCAACTCAGGCTTGATCCTGAGTTAATGGAGCACGTGCACATGAAAGTGTGACATCAGTAATACACAGCCAATCACATGCCTTGAAACTGTGATTCACTTCTCGTGAGACAGTCAGTGCGGTTCACTACCAAAGATTAAAAGATTGAACAATATGAAGAATTTAAACACATTTACCAGATTAAATGATCTATCCATGAAAGAGGAAAACTTAAAGAAAACATCTAGCCATATAAGTGCAAATAAAATTATTTTTATTATAATTATAAGTGTAAAAACACTTAAAATCTAAGCTCATATGTAGTCTTGTTTAAAGCTATTGATCCTGAAACTTATATTGCATATCTATATTTTTATATTAATTTAAAATAAAAGCTTGATAATTACTATTAAACTAAGCTAGCTTGTGTAATGGATTAAGGGTATAATAATTATATAAATCATATAAAATAATTATTTAAAAAAATAATCATCTCTAAAAATCAGACAATTTTATCTTTACATTTTTTTTATTATGTAGTGTCCTTTAATTTGGAGTAAGAGAAACAGGGGGAGTGGCTTTATTGCATCAGAGATGTGTCACTTTGCTTGAAGCTGATTGGTCAAATTTCGGTTTGAGATCTCTAAACCAGAACATA